GTCTTCATTGCCGCGCACCTCAACTTCAACCCTCCTCATCCTTTTTACACGTTTCCGACCCTTCTGCCGATCCTCTCCGTCGGACTCCATTGTCAGGTCGACGTCGGGAGCCCTTCTCGTCGCCTTCGCCGGTTCCGGAACAGTCGGACCACGTTCTGGACTGCTTACGACACTGATAGGGGACGCTTGGGGTCGTGGAGTAGGCTCCTTTGAAGCGGAAGGCGTTGTACGTGGAAGGGGAAGACGAGATGGTGGAGATGTTGGGGTGGGTGCGTCTGGCGTCGTGTCCGGCGACGAGTCCGTGCGGGGGGGCGTCACAGGAGGCGCGGAGTGCGGAGAGGCCGCCCGCCCCTTCCCCTTGTCACTCCAAGGAATCCGGTCTTGTGCGTCGGGAAGTGGTGCATCGTCGGGAATACTCGTGGGCCACTACCTGTAGTCAGTTAGTAATTGCCCCCAGGCCATCAGGGCCAGGCCCGGCAATAACGCCCAGAAGGGGTAAATACCGGGGGGGCCAGGGCAAAAAGAAAAAACTAGCAAGACCTGGTCGAGAGTTGAACCCTGAGCCCGTCAATTAACCAAGGCTTTTCACCACTCAGCCATCGGTCCTTTCTTTTCTTCACATGTGCACCGCCCATATCGTAGTACTGCACCCCACTGACTGCAAAGAACAATTGACTTGTTGGATTCACCGCGCAACCGATATATTCCTAACCCTAGGCCGCGCCGCCGTCTGATCCCTCCCTACGTTTCCCATCAACCGTCTTCTCAGGCACCACCGTCCCGTCAGCCGTTCCGTTCGGCGGCGTCGGCGGCGTCCGCTCATCCTTTCCCGACCGCCAGCATAATTATAATCTCAACAGCTCATTGTTGTTGTATCTACTCCTTTTCGCTTGCAACCGACTACTGTCTTACGCGCGACCTATTCTTCACCCATTATCTCCTCAAACGTCTTCATCGTGCCTGGGCCCATCTCGCGCAAGCCGCTCCGGCTCACCCAGACACGCTCCGGCGCCTCCCCGCCGTCGACGCCCTTTCCTTCCTTCGCCGCCACCTCCCTCCCACACGTCGGGCACATCCTGGCAACTCCACCTGCTTCCATGCAATCGCCCGTCTGTGTGCGCTGGCGCATGTTGGCGTGCAGACGTCTCACCTGCGCTCTTAACGCGATCGACTGGAAGTTGGCGCACGTCGCAGGGTCCCCCACCAGTAGTTTACGGTCGCATTCACAGCCATGTATAGTCTCTATACACCAATGACATATTAAGTATAAATGCGCATAGCTTAGAGTGTCAATGAACTCACCGGACTCCGTTCCGCCCACGCCAATGCAGTCTGCTCCATCCTCGTCCACCAGGTCCGGGATAGACGCGTCGTCCTCTTCATCGCCAGCTCTCACGCCCTCAAGCATACGCGCAAGCACGTAATCCATTGTCGTGTATCTAGAAGACGCGCGTAAACCGTCATTTATATGTCTACTTGCGAAGCAACGCCGCATACCTCTCCCCCTCCTGCAACATCGGTATGCCCTGCGGGTGGAAGAACGCATGTCTCTGCGTACGTACGTTGCCGCCCGCATCCTCTCCAGCCATTTGAGGCTCGTCCGCGCGAACGGAGGAGTCCACGGCGGCGTGTGTACGCACGCTAACGGTGCCCACAGAGCCTTGTAACAGAGGTTTGCCGACGTCGGCGTTCATGGCGGGCGAGGACATGAGAGTATTTTTCTCCCGTACCGGCACCCTGATACTTATCCTCGCGGGCTTTTGCTCCCGTTTATCAGTCTATTCCTAACCGCTCGCTCCCCTGATCGGCGTTCAACTACTGAAGAACGTACGTCCACTCTGTTCACCCTCTACGTCTACATTTTGTGCTTACTAGAGCTCTATTCCTAGTTCTACTAGAACTACATTCACAGCTTCGCATGCGTCCGTCCGCCAGCCATACGCTCATCGGGCGAATGGTCGCACCACCCGCGCTCCACTCCCTCTCCGTCACTCTTGTTCCCCACCGCCGATCGCCCGTCGCATCCTGGCATCGTCCTCCGGCCATTGATCCACCTCACCCCATCGACATTGTTTACGAAACGCAACTTTCCGTTCATTCTCAGCATCGTGCGGCTGCGTGCCGCCGACGTCAGTCATCATTGCGTGTGAGAGGCAGGAGCGAACCTGGAGATTTTTGTTGCAGACGCCTTATATGTATCTGCACCAGCACGCCCGCCGATCCGTCCTCTGGAGAGTCGATATGCGAAAGCGGTACCTCCCGCCGTACGAGTCAAGTCATCTCGCGCGTGCGCGTCAACCCTCATGATCGAGTTGACGTGCGATACTTTGCTCACCTTCATCAGACTCAGATTCAGTAACGTTCTCTAGCTCGGGCATTTCCTCGTCGTCACTGAGATCACTTCTATCTAGAACCTTTTCAGCTATTCGCGTCGGCGCCGCTGAGACGAAGACACACCTCCGCCGCCGCTCAAACCCTTTTGGTGGGCGTTATCGACGTTCTCCACTCCCCCGGTTTTCCCGTCCTCGCCTCCGGAACTCTCTCTAGCCTGAGTACAGCTTTCTGCGACTTGCATGACGGGTGAGAGCAGGCCCACAATCCACCGTTCGACGCGCCAACCCCGAATTCTGCTTCCGTGCGCCTCGGCCCCGCTTTGTAGCTCTCGAACACCCAATGCTCCTCATGCCCGACACTTTTATTTCTCCGGGGGATGCGGTGCCCAACCCCGTATTGCGCATCCAACCGACGCAGTTGAACTACGCAGCAGTAGAGTAGGTAAACTCGGTCCTCCCCGCCTGTTGTCCGTCGCGTGATCGTGGGTAAGGCACGCCACGGAACTACATAGGTCGGCGCGAGCTCACTTTTCCTGTCTTCCCTACACCGCGACCGACCCCTGCTCCGTGCGTTACGTTCTCTTCTTGTCCCCGTCGATATGCTCACGATCTCGCTCCAGAGACATGCCTAGGTCCCGTCGCTCAGCTTCAGTTGCATCCCGCCAATCCAGCGACGACGAACTTCTCCTGCGGTCGTCGGTCTCCGCCAGCGGCGATACCGACAGCGTAGTTGAAACAACGGACGCCGAGACTACGGACGCCGAGAGTACGGATGAAGAGACACGCCGCCTCCGCGCGCTGTTCAGCCCCTTTCGTCCTTCCGATAGCGAGGACGACATCATGTACACCAATCCCCGTCCTGCATCCGAGTTTTTTCACGAGCAGCGTCTCGAGTTCCTCGTATCGCAGATTCCCGAATACGAACATGCGTGCGAGTTGGGCGGTCCCGAGTTATTCATTCGCCGCGTCTACGAGGCTTATATTCAGCGTTGGCCTGAAGACCACCGCCGTCTGCGCCAGTTCAAATCCGACTACTACTATCGCGCGGACGGACGCAGGAGCGGGCCGTGTTCCGCCGTGTGCAGCGTAAGCGCTCGTTACTCTGCAACGTCCTTCGTGCTTATGTTCTCCCACACAGCGTATCAAGGCTTGGTTTATGAACTTAGACATCTAGAACATGTACCCCCCATCACACTAAATTGTTGACACTTCTTATTTACAAGTCACATTGCAATACGACCCGCGCCCTACGTACAATATTCTCCCTGTACTTCTACAACTTGCGCGACCCTACAGACTCTTCGATGACGTGCTTCCCAATCCCTGTTGTAGCATCAGAGAGTGAACGCGAGCGTTAGAAAAAAGTACGCACTGTTCCTGGCATTGCTCTGAGCAATAAAATGCGCGGCGGCAGCGCTTGCATCGGCGCGTCTCCGTCGCCCCTCCTTCTGTTGGGCAAGCGATATTGAAGCAGATGTGGCGTAAGACGCGCCACGTCTCCTGAAGCGGGCGCATAGCATACAGGTAGGCGTGGTCCAGCAACGTCGGCCGAGTTACATGGAAACCGCGGCTTCTCAAGGCGCCCATCTCCTCGAACTGCATCGTCACCGCCATAATCGGACCAGCAAGACCTTCCGCGGTTGCCAGTGCGGCACGCAAACCCCTTCCTTGCGCCGCACGCGGCAGCGTAGACCCATGAAACGCCGTATACAAGAGTCCCAGGTATACGTCTCCGCACCAGTCCTCCGTCTCTCGCAGCAATAACCAGAAGCCTCCGACAGCGTCCGAATCCGAACCCGCCAGCGTGCTGTCGGCGTCGTTAGACAATCAGCCTCTTATCGCTCTTATCGGGCGTAACACGCGTAAGTCGTACCTCTGGATCAGTTGTATCGTCTTCATGACGCTGAACGTGAAGTCGTGAATGGCCTCCCACGCCTCTGCAAACTCATGGGTATGTCGTCGAGAATGCAGAAACATTGCAAGCCGATTGACTGGCCCCATCATCAAACGAAGATCTCCGACCCCCTCGTACAGAGAACGCTGGCGGCCGTGGCGTAGTTGCTCCAGGGCGCCGCCTGCGTTGATACGGAACAGGACGCCTATGTGTATAATCAAGGACGAGGGTGTCTGCGGTCTACATCAGCGATGCCAGGGTTTCTATTTGACGGATATCTCACCGTCTCCTGTCTGGCCTGCGCCTCTAAGCAGCATATAACGAGGTGAAGGCTTGGCATGAGCCGTGGCTGGGAGGCATAGTCTTCGTGTTGAGGGATCCCATTCGGTCCGCGGCTGATGCTCGCTTGTAAGAACGAGCAGACGGGCGCGAAAGCAGTCGACTGTGCAAGACGCTCTCCACTCCTGACTTGCACATCGTGTAATACATCAGTGTAGAGGCCAGGACGCAGAAACGGCTCGGTCTCAAGGTCCATACGTGCAACGCGAAGGGTGGACGAGGTAGTGCAGGTAAACGCTGAGTCGAGATCGAGATGTCGGTCCGCCCGTCCGACCGGCGAATGCCGAGATGCCGCTCGCGACTCGGATGGTCAGAGCGCGTTGTACGCTACGCGCGCGCCCCTCCACCATGCTGTGCGTAGGAAAGCAGTCTGTTGCACCGCAGTTCCATCAAGAACTGCAGGAGCTCGATAAACGTGAGCGTACTATGCCTCCCACACTCAGCGTCGCTTCCGCCGTTGACCAGCGAGTACTATCCCAGGACAACTCATCCTCGATCAGCGGTGGCTAACCATCGTCTTCGCGGAGTCCGGCCTGTCTCAGCGGCGTGCGCTAATAGAAGAACTTGTCATCACTCGCGCAGAGCGCCGCCAACTACGAATTGCCCGCGCGCGCATAGTCAGTACTGTACTCGCTATCCCACAGACACGCACTCGCTGATCTTCCACATCTTCGCAGATATCATCGTCATTCAAGAATACACGTAGATAGCCGTGTATCGAGTATCGGCCGTGCATCGTGTCTTGTTTTTTATCAATAATGTTACTTCCCTACGTCAGTCGTAGCCACGCGATGCCTTTGTAAGGGAAACGCCAGCCAAGAAGCTTTTAGAACCATTCAAGTATCACGCCCAGAAGTAGAAGAACGTAGAATGTAGATCGTCGTCATCGTAGTTGTGAAGAAGCACCATCGTGAGAGCATCAGTAATACACCGACGGCGTGCTTCTCAGCGCCCGTGCCTTCTCAGCGTCTACGACCATCTGAGACTGGTACCCTCCAACCCGGCTTATGTTCCCTCAAGCAACCCTCTACTCCGTCCTCTGCAACCCGTCAAGACCGTGCCACCTCACGAACGCAGCCGCCTGCTGTAACGGACCTGCGAAGCGCTGTTTCAGGCCGCGGGCGTGCCGGCGGAACATCGTCGCTTGTTTCGCAGCGTAGGCGCGCAAGCCGTCTTCGAGGTGAGCGTCCAAATTTCGCTCTGGTGTCGAGTCCGCCCTAAACTTCCACCACTTACTCCGAGCACTGCAGAAAGCGGGTACGCGCGCCATCTCGTATGCCAGTTTGTACACCTCCTCAACCCATCGCATGGCACGCGCTCGACACTTGACGAATTCAACGCGAAGGTCTATGAATGGCGCTTTGAGTTCGAAGCCGCGTCGGCCCACGGCAGTAGCACGTACCGTCATTCAGCTCGAGCTTACTATTGTTGCCCAGCTTGTACCAGATCCATGGAATGCGATGCGTACTCTCTCCCGTAGCCTTTCCGGTGGCCTTCATCTGCGCTATGATGGCCTTCAAATGCTTGATTTCCGCGTCGTCGATGTTCAGAATCAGTCGGTGACTAAGCGGCACGCAGTCGCTATCATTCAGCTTCTCGAATGTCTCCTCCCAGTCACCAGCGACGAGTTCCTTGCGCTCGTCCTCGCTGAGGAAGGACACGAGAGTCACGTAGCGTTCGCGGTGTAGACGATACATTGCCTTCGCTGTCTCGATATTCCCTTGAATCATCTCTTGCTTGTCTCGTGTGCGCGTCGTCATGTGCTGTCCGGTAACGTAGTCCGTCTTCCAACGATCCACAGTACCTCTGATGCGAAGATGTTGGCGCAGTAAGTCCAACCAGTCCTCCATCCCAGCGAGTCGCAGGCGAAGCTCCTCCAGAAACAGCTCGCGCATGGCAGGTGCCGTCGCTAGCTCTCGATTGAGCTCAGATGGCAAATACAGCTTGATGGTCGGTTTCTTGTTCTTGTCCGTCTCGTTCTCTTCGTCGTCGCTCTCCTCCTCGCCCCATGAGCCTCTAGCGTCCGTGCCCTCCAGCTCGTTGATCGCTGCCAAGACCAGTGGCATGATCCATTGCTGATCCTTGCGAAACAGCGCGATCTGACGATCTAGCTCCGTGCGTTGGTCTAACTGATCGGCCTTTTGCAGGACCGTGCGCGCCTTCTTTGCGTTGGAATTACGCCACCTGCACAGAACACGTTAGTCTACCTCACTCTCCCCGCTACCACGGACTTACAATTGCACTTCAATCTTGAAACCACGCAGGATAAAGTTCGTCAATGTTGCGGCGCCGTTGGCCGAGTCCTCTTCGTTCTCGTCGACAGACGCAGCGGCCTTTGCCGCTAAAGCCGCACTAGCCAAGCGCGCCTTCTCCAACGACATTTCTGAGAAATAGATGGTCAACCCAACTGGACACGCACACGCGAAGCTTCGTTCGGTGTCCTCTCACGTACTCTTCGTGCGCGACTGGTAGGGGTTCTTGACCGCGTTCTTTCCTTTGACGATCGGCCGTCCCTCGCCGTCCAAGTACTCCCGATCCTCCCATGCAACTGCGCCACCCACCCATTCCGTGTGCATCTCGCGATCCTCCAGAAAGATAACCTGGGATATACCCGTGTATATCTCGCAGTGCTCGCGAGCTTGGGCCAAGGCAATGAGCATCTTTCTCTCCAAGAAGTTGCCTATAAGTGTTTCGCTGTTAGCCGAGGTGAGCTGGCTGGATGCGCTACTGACGAACCCATGTTGATGAACTTTCGCCAGTTCCAGACGCCGCAGAAGAAGTCGATCGTATCGCGCATCGTGCCCGGACCCATCTCTCTCAGGCTAGAGGCAGCCGGGTTGAGACCGGCCCATGCGCGCTCCGATGCTTCACCATCGGTCATGCCGGCGCCGACCATGAAAGCGATATTGAACCACAGCTGGCATAGCACAAGATGACCCGGATTATGGAACTTTGGGACACCGAACGCGATGTGTATCCCGTGCAGCAACTTCTGAGCGCCGACGTGGATGAAAGATTTCGACTCGACCGTCATCATCCTGCTGTATAGGTTGCGCGTGAACTGGCAGACTATATCGTAATATAGGTTGACGCTGCCAGCGCGCACACGGCGCATAGCGGACGCGATGATGAAGTCCATCGTACAGTACCTATCAGTCCCGTCAGATGGCTCGATTCACTCACGCTCGCGTGCAGACATACCACTCGCCCTTGATGAGGGTACCGATCGAATTCGGCCAAAAAAACTCATGACGCGAACAGAAGACCGCACCGATACCAGTCGTGCGCAGGCCTTTGCCTGCCTTGAGGTTCGCCATGATCAGAGCACCGAAGTGCGAGCAGTTGCTCATCTTGCCGTGGACGTCAGAATCAACGGTGTTCGCTCAAGGCAAGTGGTACTACCTCTTCCTGGTGTGCGCTATTTTGCGTGAAATCTTCGTATGGACCTTCTGGAACCATGTACGCCATACCGTCTCCGAGATATGGGCTGGTCTCCGGTGTTGAACGGTTCATTTTGCCCTTTGCCCGAAAGTTACAGTCAGTCGAGAGCTCCACGAGATCATTGAACTGTCTGTCCCAACATCAGCGCTTGCTCGTGCCAGTCGTCGTGGACTAACTCACTCGTGAGCAGCCGCAAGCTCGTAAGAGATCTTCGCCAACTCGTCAACCACGTCCGTATTGATACCTTTGTGCGGACACGCCGGGCAAAGGACTGCCAGCTCCCCATACCCCGTCTTCTCAATTCCGCCGCGGGGGTCGTGGCCTCGACCGCCGCGTTTGGCCGACAGTATATGCCGATACTGATGAGCCATCCTAAAGAACTCTTTGGACCGGTTCTGGGTGTCTGTCAGTCCTGACTCTTGTTGCAGCCGTCCGGTCCCACTTACAGGCAGAGCCGTCATGCCGGCGCCATCCGTGAGCGCCTCCAGAGCATTATAGAAGTCGTAAGCATTGTCCTTTCCGGTTCCACTGTGCGCGTTGAAGTGATCCAGAACCTCGATAGTAGCTGCCGATTTAGGCTTCACGGTCGTAGCAGGCCACATCCCCGCCGCCAGAAGCTGATCTCGAATGTGTACTTTCTTTTTAGTACATCCACAGAACTGGACGCTGATCTCGTGGACGCCATTCGTATGGACCACGATGAATGCTTTATTTGGACGGCGGATCAAACTGCAGCGGCTTCCATCCCAATGCCCGAACTGTACAACCTGCCCCATCTGGCGCAGCGACGTCGGCTGCCATTGCCCATTGATCCAAACCTACAGAAGTTTGAGACGCGGTTCAACGAGATCTCCGATTCAACTCACATCAATGCGATCAAGCGGCCGCTTGTAGTGCTCCCGCAGCATACACTCTTTACAGTACCACAGACAAGTCATACAGCCCGACGCACATCGATAAAGAAGGTTCTCGCGTCTCCAGTTGTGTGATAACCAACTCCGACAACGCGGAGACACGCAGCCCTTCACTTTGCTGCTCACGACGTCAGGCGGTCGACCATCCAGGCGCAATAACGCCGTAAGGTAGTCCATCTGCAAGGGGATCCAGTACAACAGCGGGTGGTTCTGCTCATGCTTGTCAGAATCCGTACGATCTAGGAAACCTGACTGGACTGACCGAGATGCCATATTTCTCGGAGTCGTTACCGCCATCGCTCTGAAGCCGCGTCGTGATCGCGACGTCTGGCGCGGCTGGCTTTGGCGCGGGCGTCAACATTACTTGACTCATGGCTGCAGGTAACGTAGCCTCCAAATGTGCGAGGTCAGTCTGAGGTGTGTACTCCAGGCTAACGGTAGGTGCGTCAGAACGGTTGACATCTCTGTCTATGCTGAAGGTAGGGCCTCCTAGCCGCTGGTCGGGGAAGGTGCTGTTGATCGCCCTCAGTTGGCTCCCCCGCTTCGGCAGCGACGGAATAGCGAGCGGTTTCTTTCACGGAGGCTGGGACATCCTCGAGCGCTGGATGGGGTAGGCGCTGGATGGGGTAGGAAGGAGAGCTCACGTACGCCTATCCGGCATGCTCAAAATCTCTCGAGCGGAAGCAAATCTGGGGGATAACGGGTGCAAGACGGAGCGCATGAGCGGGCGGCAATACATCAAAGGTAGCTGTTCAAGAACGATACATGCAGACATATACAAGAGCTATTATTGTATGACATTTGTGTGTACAAAGCCCCGACGCGCTAGTTCAGATACTGGTACGCTGCTTTAAGTAACTGCTCCCGCCTCACAACGGCGTCAAGGGCGGATTCCCGATGCTCTTCGTCGGCATGCAGCGTGTTGTAGAGATCGTTCATCGCGACGACGGCTTTGCGGTTGAAAGAGATCCTGTACCGCGGTTCGTATACACTGTCCGGTGAGCGCAAGCTCAGCAAGCCTTCATAGTTCCTTCGGGCGAAACGGGAATGCTCCTTGCGCGTGCGATGACGACACGCGTAGAGGTCCGCCCGTACCTCTAGCCGGAGGCCCTCGGCCCAGACAATCCCTTCCTGGATCAGGGCCTCCCGCATTTTGACTTGCCTAGTCTCTTCGTGATGACGAGCCGACGTCCCGCGTACGCCAGCATCTGAGAACACGGCCGACCAATCTTGCGGCTCCCAAAAGAACGCCATCTATAGCCGATCAGACGGATGCACGGCACAGGTTGCGAACAGCTCACTTTTCCATCGCTCAATAGTTCGTAGAGCGTATACCGGATACCCAATCGGCGCAGGTGAGTCAACGAGTAGTGCTCCAGGCCCAAGATGTCGACCACACTGCGAGAGAATGTCGGGGATACGACGCAGCCGCCGCCCAAGTCGAACTGTGCAAAAGATGGTTGGGCGTCCTTCGTCTTGTTTGCTACGGTCTCCGCTTGATCATTATTTAGCGCTGAGAGGTCGATGCTGTATACGCATTGGGGATGAGGGCAAGTCCACACCCGCGTGCAGGGAACGAGATAGTCCGATGGGCGGCGTGCCAGGGGGGCGGAGATATATTGGATGTCGGCGAGTATGAACTGGGCAGTCTCGGGAACGCGCATACAACCCGGGATATGGCGGTCGTAGTTGATAAAGCGATGCGAGGGGGCCGACGCTGGCTCAAGGTCGATTGGCAAAGAAGAGTAGTAGGACTCCACGGTCTCATCGCGCGGACGCCTAACAGGAGTGCGGACGCGCGCGATGTGGCGCATGGCCATGTCCGCCTTCATATACAACGGGACGATTAGTGGGATGAAGAACATTGCATTGAGTAACATACCGCTCTCTCCCAGCTTGTATGATCGTCAGGGGCAAGTACGAACACTTCTTCGTCTACATCCATATTTGAGACGTTGTGGTGGGCAAAAGCAAAAGTAGCCGAGTCAGCGGCAAGCGTTAGCCTCGTTCGAACCCACGGCGGGGCACATCAAAAAGTTCTTCGCGGAAACAAATGTTGATAGACCTGTCGCAAACGTACATGCGGTCGATATTTGTACAGCAAGACCCCTTGCTCGGGTTATGCTACGTTGCCATCTAAATACATGCGTTGCCAAACAGCTCTGCGGTCCTGCCCTTCGCGCAAAAGGCATTGGGCGCCGTTTCGGGCAGCCTGCCACCGTTCACGCTCAGGATTAACGCGCTCGGCATCCATACGCTCCACCAACGCCAGCCCAACGTCAACGACGTCCCGGCCCGCCTGAAACATGGCGCGTACTAATCGCGCACGGGCTTGCATGGCCTCTCGGCGAATGCGGGTAAGTTGAAAACGGGCTGCGTGAAGGCTAGCTTTGGCGGTGGTAATCATCTTCTTCGCCTTCCACATGCGCAGATCATGGAGACCCGTGCGCTCTGCCGCTCGCACCTCCAATATGATCTGGTGCTGGGCGTTTTGAGCCGAAAGCGCAGCCTCGTCCCACCAGAAACCTGGAGAGGTCTGCCGAGTTTTCAGTGCACGCCTGATTGTGTCTGATAAGATTTAACATACCCGATAGACAGTCGCAGGACCCGGATACCAGAATATAATGTGCGCCTCACGGAGATGCTGCGCGTAGTGGGCCCACCCCAGGCAATCCATGCAGCGCATGAACAGCCACGGATTCGTAGGGACGAGTTGTACGCGACCGTCCGATGAGAGAACAAGCCCACACTCGTCCCCCACACCGAGGTGATCGGATATAAGTAATTGCTCCTCGATGCGCAAGTTCCAGGGATCGATAAACACTGTACAATGCGTGCAGGTCCATACACCCATCTCTGGAAGCGAAGCGCTGGGACGGGATCGAACGTCGACGACGGAAGGGAGCACGTCGCGTACTGCCTCAATCAAGCGCTCATCGGCAACGGATCCGTCTAAGCCGACGTCGCGCAGCAGGTATGCCGGAATGTGAGCATGGTCGCCAGCGATCGAGAGAGAGCGCCGAGAGTCTGTGGCCGGATAGTGCTCGCTGGAAGCAGATGTATAGTCCGTCCACTGCGCTGATCGGCTATCCAGAGCCGCGTATATGAAGTTCGCCATCTGAGAAATGGTATCAGCTTCGGCGGAGATAGTGTACGCAGATCCACGCTCACTGTGAATAGACGCGGATTGTTGACCTCATCGGGCTCGCCATCGTCGGACTCGCGTACGGGCAAACCCAGCAAAATTTCATGGAAGTCCGCTGGTGCTACTTCCCAGAGCAGCTCGGCCATGGTGAAGGGTGGTAAGAAGAGCGAGGGACCCGCGCAAAGACTTTTAACGGGACGACGGAAGCATCTGTCACCGCGCATGGGCTATTGCCGTCGCGGGCTCTGGACCGGTACGCCATTGCGAGTGCAGAGCCGACCTAGTGTCAGACATTTTCGAATTCGCAGTATAGTGGTTGCAGTAAGACGCGGCACGGCCGATGCCAGTGGTCGTGGTACGAAACAGAGTAGACAGCAGAAGCTCGGACGTCGGGTGAGGCTCTGTTGGCGTCTCACGCTCTCGGTGCCGAGGAGTGGCATACATAACTTGTTCGGTTGGATGGCGTGCCGTGCTGACGGGGTTTTATACCCTCCAGATGGTGGCAGACGCGTATATTGCATACGCTAGTGTAGTCTGAGACACTACGGACGCCCGCAGCGATGTATATGATGTATACCTTTCGGGCCCCGGGTCCAGCCGGCGAATGAACACAGTCGGCCGTAGACGCAGTCTATTCCAGAGCCCCGACACTCGCACACTATGATATATGCGTCTTGTAAGCTACTAGTATAACGTCCCACTTGCGGCTGCGTCTAGCGAAGTACGTAGCACAGCGTGCCGGGGAAGGACGTGGCATACGCAGAGCGTATTCCGGAGTCGTTTTGGCAGAGCGTGTTCAGGACTTGCATAGCGTGCTCAGGACTTGTTGAAGAGTGCGGCAGAATATTGTCAAAACTGACTAGCTATAGACCTCGTGAAGGTACTCAGCGAGTGGATGCATAAGTCCCAGAACTTAGTGAAATTGGCGGTAGGTTTGAGACAGCGTGCATACGTTTCAATGCAAGAAGCGTCAACGCGGTTATGCAACTGTGCGCGAGCAATGCGCGTCGGGCTTCAAGCGGCAAACTCGCTCCCTCACCCTGTCCTCACTCAGCTATTGTATGTGATTTGGAGGATGAGAAGTGATCGCAACTACATCGCGCATGTATTCAACTACTTAGAAGTGTCCTCACACCCCGCTAGACGATGACACAGTGATACCAAACCGGGCACCTCTGAATCAATGATCGTGTCCACGATACGCTCCAACGGTCTCACTGTGCGCACTCCCGGAAGGCTTGCAAACAGTTCCTCCCACTTGACTTCGTCGTCAGTGAAACACCAATCCGGGAGGTCGAACGCGACGCCCTCGACGTCGAGACCCGACTCCAGCTTCCGCAAGATCGGAATAACTTCGCCGGACCAGTCCACCTGCTCGGTGTCCACCCCTAACAAGCTGACAGAAACCTCAGGCTCTGGGGCGCTTTGCCGGTGCCAATCACCAGACCGTATCTTGTGAGACGCGACCGCCGCACCAGACACGACGAGGTCTAGAAGTCCATCGTCAGATTGTTGTACCATGATCCTGACCGTGTTGACGGCAGTCGTAGGAACAGCTAGATATCGTGATTAGCTTGAGATCCGGCAATGAAGAATGTGGACTAACGCAGACGATCCATTAGTACCTGCATCACCATGGGAAGAGTGGCCCTGAGATCTGGCAGGAGCTCACAGTCCACGCCCAGTTGTACCACTGCAGTTGGGGGTATCACGAGGGCCCCCAGCAAACGCACGTAAGAAAGAGTGCAGCCAGTGAGTACCAAGCGACGAAGGCATGGAAGAGGTACTCGTGCTAAGCTTGGCGCAGCGAGGGTCTGTGCAACTGTGATACGCGCAGGCGGTGAGAGAAGACAGTCGCGCAGCTCCAAGACCTCGAGAGTGGCGCGATGCCGGGTGACCAATGCAGAATGGATGGCCAACGCGTGCGGACGTGGGGTATTCGCGTCGTCATCCCAGTCTATACACAGCACGCGTAGAGCATATGCAGTCATAGGCAACCAGCAAGATTCGAAGTACGCGCGCAGGAGGTGAGGTGCCCAAAGTTGGCCGGTGAACGAGGGGTGATTGACATCCCTGTACTTTTCAGCACGCGCCTTGAGAAGCTGAATATAACAATGGATAGTTACCTCATGAAGCTAGATGCGCTCTGCTGCTCGTACTCTACAGCTATGCGAATCTCCTCCAAAGACGTCAGAGACGGGTACAGGATGAGACGCCTGAGGTGCTCGATCACATCTCCGCGCTTGATGAGCCAAATCTGCGAGCAGGACGCGAAATCGGTTGACTGTCGAATCTTAGACATCCGCCGCCTCTCTTTCGTATCAACGAGAAATGGGACCGGAGGCATGCGCGGTCGAGACGGTGTCAAATGGTACCATAGGGGCACATCTCCAGCGCGTGACTGGCAGCATGAATGAGTTTGACATGATGAGAGAGCCAGCAAACGTAGCTCATACCTTGAAGGCCGTCTGAGCACCCGGATACGCCGTATACTGCTCCGCATGCAGCTTTCGCATGCTGAGAACGACGTTGCGTAGACGCTGACAGACCCAGCTAAGCCTTATCCAGCCCGCATGCAACCCAAGTACGGGAGAATCGCCTTCGACGCAGATCTCGACTATATACTGCAAAACGTCATCGACCAAAAGAAGCAGCCCCGAGCTAACATGGTGAGTGAGTGGCAAAGTTCTATTGACCCACTCATGCACGCCTACTAACCTTTGGGCGGGGCGGCGAGTGATGTGAAGCGCGGTGAAGGAGTCGACGATTGAGGGGTTGGAGGGGGACATGATCGATTGTCCTCAGCAAGAAAGCCTTGTCACGCATTATATACCTTCGCTAGATGATAGGGCGATGCCTGGTGCTCTGCGCATCGAGGGGTAAAGTCAGACATGAGGCTTAAGGAGGGGTGCGATGAGTGCCGATAAAGCAGCACAAGTCGCGGAACAGACGCGACGGCCTTCGAGACAGAAAACTAGCACCAGACAGACTGCGCAGTATAGGGTCTTAGGGTAGGCCTACATGACAGTCGTGTTGATGGCTGGAAGCAGAGGCGACGTGTAGCTCTACTATACGCAGGTGACCGTGCTTGATGGCGAGAAGCATCAGTGCGTCAGGGGTAGAGCTTGTTGAACCCAACGCCCATGACAATGATGAACTCTTTCCGCTTGACTTCATGGGTGAGCAGTATTCACCAGTCTCACATCACACTATCTGATATAGGCTCTATAGGGCGGATACAGGAAGCGGAGTAGCGGATAGGGGCTGAACCGGTGAGCCTGCAGTGGCTTTGCTTCCGCGTCGTGCCTGAGGGCGCGGGCGCGTTTGACACTCACGACGACGCTGACTATTATTGACCCTCTAGCTCTAGGGCGTACGGCGGAGCTCTCTAGCACTGTGTCTATGATTGAGGTCGACGCGCTCGATCACAGGCGGGCTCTCCTGTGCGTCGCGAGCGGGTGGCGCATGGTCTCTTGCATTGCGCGCTCGGGGTCACGACATCCCGATAGCCCACCGTCATCGGGACGTCTGGACCTGGCTCAACCGATCCGAGGGGCCGTCGCTGACCGGCGCCCTGCTATCTTTCGACGTTTTTCGATCTCAACCGCCACCACTCGATCTTCGCTATGGGTCGCCCGGCTAGAATCAACGGAAAGCGCGCTGCTCTCTTGCTGCGTATCATGCCCGAGTTGCTGGCCATCGATCTTCAAGAGAAACCTAACGGACAGAAGGCAAACGAGGATAGGCACGACTTCTACGACAACGCTGTCCGGTTGCTCGTGCTTTGCTTCGGTGTGGCGAATCCGCTAACCAACGACACGCCGGATAACGACTGGTTCACTGTGGAGTACGCCGAGATCCCTGCCGCTGGCGAGATGCCGCCTTTGCCTGCCGAGGAAGCCGAGGAAAGGGACAAAGTTATCACCAGTCTTACTTTGGTACGTACGGACAACAGTTGTTTTTGCGTGCGGAGCATTAATGAACTACTACAGACGGTTCGCAATTTTTACAAGGACAAGCGCCAGAAAATGAAGGCCGGCGAGGCGAAGGCGATACTGACGCAGAGGAACGTCGAGCGTGTCGTAGCAGCCATGGCCCCGGAGCCGAAGCCGCCCAAGGAGTTGGACGTGTATCAAAAGTTCTTCAAGGACCGCTTTCGCGACGCCTTTGATAAGGCGTGGAAGAGGCGGGAAGATGAAGCGGGCGGGGATGGAAAGGTCCTGGCGGCGCTGAAGAAACGTCGCGGCGGACAGTTGCGCGTCTTTGCACGCAAGCGCTGGGAGTGCGAAAGCGCTGACGTGAAGGCATCGGTGCGCACGAAATGCGCGGAGTTGCATGGGAAGCGGACCGAAACTCATCGCGCCCTCTGGGGCGCCCCAAACGAGGCGTTACCCAACTCACGCATGTGGTACGTTTTCGCTTGGCTTGCAACGCCTACGTGCAGTACTGACAGTCTGCCTTCATTGACACCAGGGTTCTTCCCGAAGCTGCCGATTTTTTCGAAGGCGTTCTATCGTGGGCGGCTGCGCGGTTTGGCGTTGCGATGGCGCTTACCATTGCGGGTCCTACAGATAGCGGGGAACCCGCTGATACGACGTGCGTGTTCTCATGACTCGCAAGATATGTGGAAACTTACTCGTGCGTGCGCTTCAGACTATATGCAGCCGGAGACTCGAAACCAGGAGCGCCGACCTTGTCCGAATTTGCGTCGGCTAGCTTGCAGCCGGCCAAGATACGCTTACGGCAGTTTGCGCGCGATATGCTTACAGGTCAAGTCCCGGTTTTGGCCAAAAACGACGACGCGGGCGAAGCAACGAAGCCGGAGGGTGAGGAGATGCAGGAGGACGAGAATGAGGAAGACGTCGGGTTGGACGGTGAAGATTTTGCCGGCGAGCTTGCAGGGCTGGACATCGGTTCGGGACCGGTAAGTTACGATCATGGCATATTTGCTTAACGCTGATGGCGAGCGCGCAGGAGAACGACAGTGAGGAGGTGCCGCAACGAGGCAAAAAGGTATGTGTAATCACGTCTACATACTTGCACGCGCGTCTGACCAAATCTACCAGACGGCCGGGTCGCGGAAATCAGGAGCGGCTCGCACCATCGACTTGGAAGATGAACAGGACATGGACGACATCGACCTACAGCTCGCCTCTCCGAACATTCAGTCGTGGGACGAGCCTGACCTGGGTGAGGAGGTGGAGGAAGCGCACGCAGACGCGGCGCGGGCCAAGGGCAAACGTAGGGCGGCGCGGGCGGATAGCGATTTCGAGATGAACGCTGGCGATGATGAGTACGATGGGCACGACGACGAGGAGGAAGAGGAGGACGACGGAGATGTAGACGATGGCAAGGGCAAAGGATCCGCCGTCTTCCGCGACTTTGAAGACGACGACGAAGATATCTTCGGGTTCGGGTTCGGCCAGTTGGGCCGGGCGGCCGGGCCGGGTTGGTCGCATGTGAAAAGGCGCTTGAGCTCGACGAGCAGCTTTGGGCATGGGAGCGGTTTCGACGACGCATCTCTCAATTGTCTCGAGAGCGACGACGAGTTGTTGAGGAGCAGGGTGGCCCTGGCAACGCGTAATGCGTACGGCGGCACGACGTCGCCGTCTACAGCGACGTCTGACTACGAAGGCCGCGCCTTGGGGGGGATAGTGGGTGATGCTTCCGAGGACGAGGAGGTCACGCGAGGCGGTGAAGGAACGTCGGATGATGAAGCGATTGTGGACAAGATGTTGGAAGCGAGATATGAAGATAGACGGCAAAAGCGAACGGTGGACAAGTCGTCGCAGGAGACGCGGCTCGGCGGACTATCCCGTGCGCGCGCCAGCGCGAGTCGTAAAAAGGAGGCAACGGGACTTCGCACTGCTGGTGAACAAGACGCCCCTGTGGCCAAGGTCGGCGCGGGCAAAGTTTCCGGCACGCGCGAGGCGAACAAGAAAGGGAAGAAAGGGAAGGGAAAGGCGAAGAGGAAGGACGCAGGCGCAGGGATCGGGGAGACTGGCGCGGGTCCGGTTGCGGGCAAAAAGCGGGCGCTTCGTACCGCCAGTCGTAGGCGTATCACGTCTCCGATAGAGAGTGACGTTGAAGGAGGCGATGATGGGCAAAAGACCATCCGGCAGGCACGAAGCGCTGATGCGAGCGTTGGCGAGACAGCTGGGGAAGTTAACAAAGCGTGTACGCAGGTCAGTTTTTTCTATCCCTCATTGCTTGCCTGAACTCATATACGTTCATAGGCATGGCTGCATGAACATCTGGAGGGAAGCTTGGATGTGGGACTTGCAGCCTGGAGGTCGTATAGCGGCGGCCGAAACGTCGCGGGCTCGAGACGCGAGAAGGTTGTGGAGATCATCAAAACGATGGCGCCAGCGCTGCGCGTCGTATACGCGGACCTTGTGGACACCATGGAGGTGCTGCTGAAGATGGACGAATTATGGGTACGATACTCGATCCTGAGTACGCGCGGCATACAAACTGACGCTGGACCCCTTCAGGATATGGGAAAAGGCGGACACCTCGACAACGCCAGCCGGCCGAAGGCCGTTACCGTTATGATCAACCATCGAGGAGGTTTGCTTGGAGCGCGTGACTGTCCTCGCGGATGGGGAAAAGAGGTCAAGGAGTGGTGGCTAACGCTGCAACCGGCAGCGCGAGGCGTCGACGTAGACATCGCGCAACTCATGCCGCCGACAGCAGGCATGGCGTGGGGGAGTTTAGTAGAAGCCCGCGGTTACAAGGGCGCGTTCTTGCTCGTGTGGTGCATGATGCACTGGGCCAGGTTCGACAGCGACATGGAGGAGTGGCGGGAGGTGGCGGAGGACATGACGGCTGTATTCAAGCTGCTCGCGCGCATCAGGCAGAGCGGTGGCGATGGCGATGGCGGCAGCGCGGCGGGCAGTGCCCCGCCCTCGCGTAACAAGCGTAGGGCAGAGGATGAAGAGCAAGCGTCGGGCGGCGCCAAAAAGGTGAGGGCGATTACGCATACCAAGGTCAGGCGGTAAGATGGGTAACGGGGTGCGGTGCCAAAAATGCAATGTTATATTATATCGAGAAGTGGCGCTCATGTAGTATACTTGACTATGTAACGCTTGTATAGTTTGTAAGCGATCGTGCTTTTTACGCCGGGGGCAATTCAGATACGAGAAAGGTATGGACTGTTCGCTAGTTAGGACACAAGTACGGTGCAGTAAAAACTCTAAGCGAGCTGGGCATTCTTCTTCTTGAGCGCGTTGGCGAGCTTGTCTGCAATGCGTTGGGGCTAGGTGACATAAAAACGTAAAGAGTACGGACCGGCATCATGGAACGCATGTTGATACAAGTCCGACAAGGACGCGTGGAAGGTTTTGACCTTAGGACGTGCGGCGACGATCACCGGGACGGAACGCGGGAGAGACAACGTCGACAGCGTGAAGGGCGTCCAGCTCTCGATCGCGGTGGCGGAGTCGGCGAAGGAAAGTATGCGGATGACGTCGCTTTGCTTCACTTCTGCGTCTAGCCACTGAGTGACGAAGGACGACATAGAGAAGTGAGTCGAGTTCTTTTGAGCGTATAGCTTGAGAGTGATGGGAAGAGCGGAATCCTAAAGACGAGTTAGATTTAGCTTTGGAAGGACGACTGTCGACGTACAGCGAAGAAGAAATGCACTAGGAGCGATAGGTGCTTCACAGGAGGGGTGACCACCTCGACGCTCGGGCTCCGTGAGTCGCGAGTTAGATCTATGGGAGACGCCGAAGAGACTGGGATACCATCAGGGATGGGGAAGGGCGCAGGCGTTGCGTGGACCTGAGGAGCGGGCGTAGGCTTGTGTTTCTTCTTCACCTGGAGCGAATGTGTAAGTCAGAGCTGAAGGCCGGAAAGGAGGAAACAGACGCACGGCGCGGGGGGCCTTCAAGTTACCAGATTTCTTGGGCGGCGGGGGAGGTTTGGGTTTCGGCTGGGTCTAGAGGGTTGACTTGCTTGAGTAACTGGAGATGAAGTAGCACGCGTGAGGACTTACGAGACGCCGGCCATTGACTGTTTTCTTATTCTTCTTGGGTATCTTGATATGGTGCTCTGCTTGATACGCGACGATCTTGCGGCGGTCGTCAGGATCGAGGGCATTCGATACGTATAGGAAGTGAGGATCAGGGTGGAGAGGATCGCCAGGATGTTCGCCGTGACACTGCCGTACGTTAGAGGATGGGGAGTGAGCGTGGTGAGGACGCACGAGGATAAGGTAGCGCCCGAGGTTGCGGTCGAAGTTCTGATACTGAAGGACGGGTCCGATGAATGGATGATCGTGGTCCTGGCACCGCTGCCGACATTGCTCGACTTTCGCCTCGTCTATAGGGTAGGAAAAAGAATCCGTATAGGCTTTGAGGTCCTCCAGGTCGTACTGCTCATCCTCAAGGGACATAGTGGGCAGAGAGAAGACAGCGCGCGAGCGCATGGCACGTAGATATATCGATCGGGGGTGTCAAATAAGATGCCGTTGGTGAGTGAGCCGATGCGCAAGTCGCAGTTTCGGGAATTCGCCGCGGGGCAAAGCGGTGAAAGAGTACGCGTATTCAGCCTGTTGTCACGGGCAGAGATACACAATACGGGAACGTACAGTGACCGAAGGCGCTGACCTATAGCACGCCAGATACCGCAGGGCTGCAAGAGTTACTGTGCGAGTTAGCGTACGAGACGCCCTGAGTGGGCAGAGGGTTCGGCGTCGCCAATCTGGTTCCGTACGTCGGGATAGTGAAGCGGGCGCTCGCTTGTTCGGCCGAACTCTGTTAGAATACTATACTATGCGTTGAAGTTACGGGCTCTAGGATAGGACCGTAATTGGAATGCAAGTCGCGCGTGAACGCCGCCGCCGCGTCGCTCCGACGCGAGGGCGTAATGTGTCGTGTGTATATACGCGATGGAGTGTATATTCAAATAGACGAGGATAGTACAATCATGGCGAGCTATTGGACGTGAAAATATAGTTCGGGGGGTGCGGTGTGATGGAGGTGTCGTCGTGAACGCGCGCGGCTGGCACGGTGCGGCGGGACGGCGGACAACGCGTCGCGCGGACGACGGACAACGCGCCGCGCAGCCGATGGTCGGCACGCCGCGCGGCCGATGGATGGCGTGGGCGACAGACAGGGACCGGATGATGAGCGGGCCGACGATGACGACGGCTGTCACCCGCGATTTCGACGTGAATGTCGGATCACTGATGGCTTACAGCTAGGGTTAGAGCAATATGGTCGTATACGCACTATTTCTAATATTGTTTTGAGGTTCTGTGATGGGCTACTGGTGCACGGGACAGCCGGGAAGTGCCGATAGAGCAAAAGAGTTGGGATAATGGTGGTAACTACTGGCCGAGGGGGTTATTGCCGGGCTGTGGCTAAGAAGGCAGTGGGCAAGAACTCGCGAACTACTACGGCTGCGTGGGCTCGGGAGTCTTAGCAGCGTCGGGACGTGCGTCGGGAAGAGACGTGGGGTCGGGAAGCGTGGGTTGCTGGGCTCCATGATTCTCGGAGGCTGGCGAGGGCTCGGCGTTGGGCTTGACAGTGGTAGAGTGAGGCCCAGGAGATGCGCTTGCCTCTTGGTGTGGGCCTTCGGGAGGCGTGGGCGTGGGTTCCCGCGGCGGTGCGGGCGTCGGGTCCTCATTCACTGGGGGACTTTCTACACGGAATTTCAGACTTGTCACGACGTATTAATACCAGTAAATATACCACAGTCCAAGCCCAAGTCGATCTCAAACGCTTTCATCCAGTCGTCGTCCATGTTGATGATGATGATGATGGTGGAAGGGAAGTGTTGATCGCGTCTAAGTCGCGTTAGTGGGTCCGGGGCACGTGATCCCGGGAAGTCGGTTCGACTTGCGCGCGATTTTGAAGTTTGCTTCCCGACCATCATCATCTACACCACAGTCACCACCCTCGCATCTATCTCGATTATGTCTGACATCTCGTTTGAGGCCATCCTGCTTCGGAAGGCTCTGACCGACCTGCCTGCCACCCTCAAAAGGGTGTACAGCTCTTACAGCGCCGATGCCCGCCCGGGTATCCAGGAACAGCGTGTGGTTGCGGTCTGCAAGTTGGTGGCGGGGATCACGGACTTCCAAGTCGGTCAGCAAGTGCTTTTTGCGCTGTTGACGGAAGCTGTACGTGCCCTAACTGCCATCTTTTACTCGCTACTGACCCTTCATTCCAGATGGCGTTAAAATCCGCTATGCCGTCGGGACCCGAGTGGGTCTTCAACATGTTGAAGTGGATAGTGGAAAGGGGTTCGCATCCGACAAAGATTACGGATGCGAACGGCCTTACGTTCTTCAAGGCTGCGACGGGCATGGCGTTGAAGAAGTATCAGGAGGAGATCAGCAGGGTCCCGGCGTACACCGGGGGGGATATGTGGTGGGACATTCTTCGTGCGTATGCTATGCACAATGTTCATGCA